GATCGGCGAGTGATCGGAGGGTCGGACGCAAAGAGCTTTGAATTCCCGTGGATTGTATTAAAACAATGCAAAATATATAATATTTTTATTATTAAAATAATTATGAATTATTTGATTCATATAAAATTTAGGTCTCGTTGCAAACCATACACAACACCAGCTATAAGTACCACACCTGCGGCGGAGCTATACTTAATGACCACTGGATTTTAACAGCTGCTCATTGTGTGCAAAAATAGTTAGCCTTTTAAACCAAAAATCTAATTTAATTAGATTTAATTATCAATTTTTTGGTGTATTTTAATAGCAAAACAAATTTCACAAACAATTTGATGATAAGTTTCGGTTCGTTGAACTGGACGTACGGTTTTGAGCGCAAACTAACGCACATTATATGCCATCCATTAAACACTTACGACAAAAATGAAGATAATTTTGCGGACATTGCGCTCATGAGAGTCGCCGAACCGATACGACCGGTCAATGTGTTTGGCTATTATCTAATAAACAGCATTTGTCTGCCAAAAGCGGGACAACAGTTTGCGGGCGCCGCGACTCTGGCCGGTTGGGGAGTCACCCGATGGCGGCATCCAATCAGCGATATGTTTATTTATGAGAAAACTGTAATTTATTAATTTAAATAACCATAATTAGTTTAATTTATAAGCAACATTGTTTTAAATATTTAGCAAATTCTACAAAGAGCTCCTAATATGCCGATTGTTAATATGAAGACGTGTCAGTCCATGTATTCAGTGACCACACGGTTTAAATTGTCTCAATATTTAGACGACAATATTGTTTGCTGTGGTGGCCATCAAATGGGCAGTTGGTCTGTAGGTATAATAATGATGGTTATTTTTATGTGCAACTAATATATTGACTTGATTTAAAGGGTGATTCCGGTGGACCCCTTGTCTACTATAATGTCACCTCTGGAAAGGCTGTCATCATAGGTGTGGCCTCAATGGCCGAGCCGTACGATTGGGAGCGACCGTCGCTTTTCACACGAGTGGCCAAATATGTGGATTGGATTCACGATGTGATCACATATTGGGATCAATTTTGCCAAACAAATAATTGTTAACTTTCTATTGACTACTAATTGAAATGTTTTATGAATAAAATGAAAAATTGTTATAATTTTTTAAATGATAGCAAATGCTATACCTATTTTTATATCAATTATTAATTGACAATTAATCATATAATGAGTAAAATGTTCAAAACATTATTAGAATTAATAAAATGACATTTCTCTGATCACTTTTTACAAAAATCTTATTAGACATGGTAAAATAATAGTTTGCTAATAAATTGGTAGCTTTTTATTAACATCTCTTATTAAATCAATAATCAACTTATAAATAAAATTAAAATGTTCATTTAAATGTCGGACTGTGTCTCAATGCTTATACTTAAAAACCACATTTTATTTTGTAATTTAAAACTTTAATTAGATTTAAAATCAATTTGATTTTTAATGGCATTCATATCTATATGTAAAGCGAAATGAATCCATTAAATATCAATTGTAAGATATTATTGTTGATCACAATAGTGTTGATCCAATTGAAGCCAATAGTAAATAATAGTAAATAATTTACAATTAAAAGTAATAATGAACTTAAAAATTAAAATACAACTAATTTGCCAAAAGGTGAGTTTGATCTGAATGGCGTCAAATGTGGTCTAAAACACGCGGAGAATTACATAGTGGGCGGAGAGACGGCCGCGATTGGCGACTTCCCATTCCTGGTGCTCATCAAACTCAATGGCAATACCGTATGCGGCGGTGCTATCATTAACAACATATGGGTCGTCACCGCCGCCCACTGTTTTAAAGAGTAGGTATGTCTGGCCATACGATTCAATGGACAGGTAGTATAATACTTAGGATGTATAGATTAGGCCTACTTTTATCAGTGTTAGGGTTTAATACCTGTCCATTGAAACCAAGCGCTAACCGGTATATAATCATATAATTACCTTAATTGTCTCAATAGCAAAGAGGGCCAGATAGCCGACTATACAGTACACGCCGGGGCCAACACCTTACACGATGGCGATATCTATAAGTTGTCCGCAGTCAGAGTCCACGCAGACGTATGAAATGATTCGCAATTTTCAGTATTTAAAAATAATTAATTTTGCCGAAAGTTTTCGTTTGACAAAATGATTAAAGACATCTGTCTTATCAAAATGGACCGACCGTTCAGTTTCGGCCCAAAAGTGGGCACAATATGTCTGCCGGCGATCCAGAGGGAGGAGCCTTCGGGCACCTTAACCGCCGCCGGTTGGGGTCGACTCTTTGAGAAGGAAGCGCCGGCAACAGTGCTCCAGAGAGTCGATCTGACCATCATTAGCGACGAGCAGTGCGCCACTATGTATGTGGATAAAAAGGTCACCATATATCGGTCAAATATGTGCACTTACCGCGAGGGTCACGATACATGCGAGGTATAATCGGTATTGTCTATATCGGTTGGTTAATCATGTTTTTATTTGTGTTTTATAGGGAGATTCGGGTAATTATATGATTATTGTGTTTATTAAATGGTGACCATGATCATATTTTATGAGCACAGGTGGGCCAGCGTTTCAATCTCACAACGGAAGGTTCAAATTGTTAGGTGTCGTCTCTTTTGGTGAGTATTGATATAAATGGATTAATTTATTTGAAATGTTTACTAAAACATCTGATTTTATATTTTCATCAAAGGTTGGGCGTGTGCGGACACACATCCGGGTAAATCACTATTGATTTGTTTTGTGTAATACTTAAAAGTAATCACTATTTTGTCACTTTTAGGAGTCTATACACAGGTTTCATATTTTCTCGATTGGATTAAAAACACTATCGATTAAAATAAATCTCAGATTAAAAGTGCAATAAATATGTTTTAATAAAAGTTCAATTCATTTAAAATAATAATTCAATTTAAACTTAAATAAAGGATTTCCTAAAAAACATTGTATATAAAATGAATTTGTTATAAAAACTCCTATAAATCTATAAACAAATATATAATAATTAAACATCTGGTCTACGGATCTGTCTTTTGTCAGTCACTAAATAGATGTCAAACACTTTCTTCAAGAGGAAAGAGCCAAAGAGTCGCCGCTGGCTATCAGTCCATCCGATTGGACACTTCTTGCGGCCATTGATTTCATTTGTCAGATTGTGGAGACCGATGGCATCGATTATCATCGCCTCACGAGCTAAGGCCTCGTCAGAAGTGATTCCAGTAAAACACGGCAAAGATATTACTCCCTTATCTGTGGACCAAATGTGGCGAATGCGTTGATACTTAGCCGAGTCTTTGTCATAGCCTTTGCTGGTGTCGTAAAAGTGTTGGTAAACCCGATTGCCCTGACCCTTACCCACGTAGAAGATGGAGGTCACGAATTTGGCGAACACCTGTCCGTGAAGGGGGCGCTCAGTTCCCGGCCGAGACTTGTTTGCGGCGCTTCCGGCTATGTTTGGGTCGATTAGGATATAATTAAAGTACTGTTGTCTTGACTTCGAGTCCCGTTTGTCAAAGAAGTCCATAAATTGTTTCTCGAGTTTATAGCACTCGTCGAATGGGACCGACTTTCTGGACAAACACTTCAATTCGACCGAACAGTTGGTCAACGATGCGGTGGTTGTGTCCCTCGGGTCCCACTTTTGGTCAACCAATTTGATGGGACGATCGATGCAAACACTCTTTAGTAGGTCTACTATTTGGGGACAGTTGACGAGCGGTGCGGCGGTTCTGTCATTGGGGTCGCGTTTTTTGTGACCCGAGTTTAGGGAAGAGTTTGTGTGAAATCTTTGCAATTGTTTTACTATTGGAGTGAAAGGCGCTGAAGATTTGTTTCTCTTTAACCAATCTATTCTATTCCAATCCTTAATCAGCAATTGATTCCAACATTTGGTAGTATTTGCTATCAATTGATCCAAAGATTTAGTATTATTTGCCAACAAATGGCTGAAAGGATTAGCGAAAAGTTTTGCTGTCATATCTGTCCACTAGAGAGAGAGAGAGAGAGAGAGAGATGTCATAGAAATTTTTGTGAATTGACACAAAATCATTGATTTATAACAAAACTATAAATTGAAAGCAAAGCAAATAATAAGCTTAAGTATTTTACAATGAATTTGCTATAAAAAACTATATAATTCTTTATTATAAAATACAATTTTCTATTAATAAAATATAATATTCATGAAAAAAAAAGTTTTTTATTGATAAAGTGTTTCAAACCGAAACAAAAAATGTTTTTTAATTTTAACTCGAGTTTACTTTCAGTTCAATCTCTCAAACATTTTATTTTGTATTATATAACAGACCTATCAATCGGTGGACACTATTATATGTTTAACATTAGTTTCAATGCAAAATACAATGACTTTAAGGCGAGATATTATGTTTGTGTCACTAATATATGCAATAGTGTTGATAAATATGTGCAAATGCTATCCATATATGATGGGCAATCGTTATAATAATCAGCTAGGGCAACTAGGGCAGCAGCTAGGTGGTTCTAGAAATCTTGGTGGTTCTAATAATATGGTTCCGATGCTTTTGCGAGACCCAAGATTTCCCCAACAGAGGCCACAGTTGCTGTTTGTGCCGTAAGTTTTCATTTAATTTATTATGTTTTGTAATTATTTGTTAATTAATTTTGTAATTTAATATAAATATAATTGTCATAATAAAAGTTTGGATAAAAGTAGTCAACAAATGCAATACGACGACCCATCGGCCGGCGGTGATGAGGGCGGCCCCTATGTCGATGACCATCACCATCATCATCACCATTACCACCATGATGATGATTATGATGAATAGTTGTTTATTAATGCTGCAGCTAGATTTAACAACTCTTACAATTGTTAGTTTGTATTATATTATTGCTTTCATTTAGAAGTCTAAATTTAAATAGTTGTGAAAATACTTTTAAAAATTAATTTTAATTATGAATTATTAAAAATGAATTTAGTTTTCAGTAGTTTTGGCGTAAATTGTTGTTGAAATGACAAATATTTATTGTAAAATGTAATGATTATTAATAATTATCTATTTTATAGTTTTACAGTATTTTATACCAAATATATTGTATGATTTGTATGTATTTTAATAATAATGTTAAATAATATACTGGTATTGAATATTAATTATACCGTATATTCAGTATGTTTTTAGCAGTTATTAACTCTATTAGTAATAGATTATTACTGTATATAAAATTAAATCTTTACAAACAGTTATAAAGTGTTCAAACAATTATAAAAATAATTATCAAGTTTTTTATCGTAAACATTAAATCAGAAAATGAAAAATTATTTAATATTTTGTTTAATTTATTTGCCATCAATACTGAGATGTATTGATGCAAATGACGGTCAGAAGAGATCTGCACCACAATTGCCGGTCTCTATATTGGATGAGATCATGAATTCCAGTGGTTTTGGGGGCTTTGGAGGGCCCGGCGGTAATGGAGGCGCTGTTAATAACAACCCATTTGATGGTATACTCGGTTCGCTAATACCCAGTGATAATACAAATGGTGGCAATTCTGGTTCGGGTGCCGACAGCACCGGAATCCCAGTGTTGGACTTTTTTCGCAATTTGATTGCTATGTTTTTGAGGGCTTTCGTACAGATTTTCCAGTTTTTTCAGCTCATCTCGAGAGCCATCACCGGAACCAGTGGTCAAAAGGCTCTCTTCCTGTCCATCGATAATCAACTCAATGATATCCCAGATATGGACGGTATGTCTTGGATTAGGAATTGATTTTTAAATTTTATTATATCTATTAATTGTGTTGTATTTGAAGGCAAAACTAATGATAGACTGAAGCGAGTTATGAGAGAAATCAGTAAATCTGTGAATGAATTTCCGTTGAGTTTCTTCGCAATGAATGGTCAAAAAGGTGTGGACTTTGAGCGACAAATGGATGATATATTGAGACAATTGTCAAACACTGACATAAATAAGTCGGTGAATGAGATACTGAAAAGCGATTCATTCAAAGACAAGTTTAAGACCGGTTTGGGTGCAAACAATATGAGAGCCAAACGGCAAGTATTTAACCCAAAAACTGGTAAAATAGAGACATTAGAAGACAGTTCTCTGAAGTCATTATTGGATCACTTCTACAAAAGTCATTCAAATCTAAACAATGATTTCTATTACGAAATGTCGGACGAAATGAAATGAAAATGTTTAGGAAAAAACTTTTTGAAAATTTATTGTGTTATTTGACTGAAGAAATAAAGCCTAAAATACAACTCATAATAAAAAAGCAAAAGTTGTTTTTCAGTTTATTTCCATAAATAAAATATAAGTAAACATTTTTTGACTCAAAATAAAGGAAAATAACATTTTCTTATATATGAATGAATGAGAGAAGAAATAAATCAATTGTGAAATAAAAACGTTTGCAACAAAAAATACTAAACATTAGATTCACTAAATAATTGAAGCGAAAAATTAAATAAAACAAAAAACAATTGCTTAAAGAAGCGTATGGTTTGTGAAGAGAAGTATACAAAAGGTTTTTAACAGAAAAATGCAATTTTTGTAAAATGAAACTTATTTTTTTTATCGAAAAAATGAAAAGTCAATCAATTTTTCGATTTAATCGCTTATAAGTTAAGGTTTTTTCCAATAGTTTTATTTCGCAAATAAATTACAAATAACTATAATTTTTGACAAAAACTTTTCTGAACTATTTATAGGAAGGGAGTGTTGATGAGTTCTAAAGTCATTAGTTTTACCATCCAATTAGAATAATTAATAATAGTTTGGTTTAATATAAATTAGTGTATGGTTGAGGTAAGTTTGTAATAAAATTTAAATCATCAATACTAATAATGTTTAGAGTCAAGTATTTTATATAGTTTGACCAACATGACAGTAAAGGGGCGTATGTTTTGTCAAATTGGTTGTGAATTATAAGCATTTCTACAGCAGCTATTGATGTACTCGTGTTATACTTAATGTGAGACAATTGTATCGACAAAAATATTTGCGATTGTAATAATCTGTGCCACAAATCAAAGACAATCAAAGACTGAACTGAACTGTTGTGGCGAAGTGTTTGTCGGCGATTATCTCCTCATGGGTTACGACTGTTCGCGTTTCACGGATGTGATATCGGAAGAGCTGTTGTGCTCGATATGCGGCCACATTCTGGAGGAAGCGCTGACCACGGATTGCGAGCACCTGTTCTGTGGCCAGTGTATCACCGAATGGCTCTCAGCGAACGGGACGTGTCCTATAGACCGGCTGTACATCACTGCCGGCGACCTGAAGGCTGCGCCGCGTGTTGTCCGCAATCTGTTGGCAAAGTTGCACATCCGCTGCCACTTCGCGCCCGACGGCTGCAAAACGGCGGTAGCTTTGGAAGCGCTGGAAAAACACGTCAACGACTGTCACTATAACCCGAAGAAGCGGTTCTGTTGTCAGAAGGGATGCGACAAATGGATGACAAGGGAAGAGATGGAGAGACATAACTGTTGGGATGATAACCGCAAAGATGTGTTACGACAAGAGCGGGAGATCGCGGACCTGAAGCAGTGGCGAAACGTCCTCTCCTTCGCCATAGCGTTGTTATTGTTGTATATCTTGTGTCCGACACTATTCTTCAGCTTCGGGTCAAACAAATGATATGACAATACAATCGCTTCAAAAGAAATGTTTGCCTTTTTATGCTCTCAAATAAAATGCAAAAGTATTTTGTTTTCACAATTAAAGTCAATGAAAATTTAATATATTTTAATGTTTTATATAAGAGTTTTAATCAACGTTTAGTGGATTTATTATTTAATAATAGATCAAATATTTGTATCATTTTTGTATTTTAAAGCCTATATTAAAAGTGTATTTTAAAAATTTATAGATAATCAAACAAAATGTATTTTTCAATAAAATCTGTTTATATTTTAAACGCTTAAAATTTAGTTAAAAGTTATACTTACAGTAATTTGAAATTAAAACAAGTTATTATAATACTAGAGATTTATATAATTACTATTGAAATTACTGTAATTTAGATACTGTGTAGAGTTGGATAAGAAATTAAATGGAAATGATTTTTGTTGATTGATTGGACATAAAACTGATCTCTTTGTGACACAAAATATGTGTTTTATTTACGCAAACAAATGATTTACAATTAATGTAATCCTTATCTTTGGGACCAAAGTGTGGTATTGTATAAGAAATTATATTATTTTCAGTCACTTATTATCCAATGAGTGGCAAATTCTTGCGCCGATTCTCTCATTATATAACACGACTTTAACGATAAATATTTATTACGGTATCAGTAATTGTGTTAATGTTTTATTAAACAATTGGATATAGATTTTTGATGCTAACACTTATTAACTGCCGATTTATTTAATAATGATTCGCAACAAAATATTTCTCAAGTTTGCGATCATTTGTCTATTGATTCAAAAGACGTTAAACACCGACAACTTGTCCGACAGTATCGGTAATTATTGGCCACAAAAACTAAAATAATATTTAACTAATAAATTATTATTTAATTAACAGAAACGGATTATTCACTAGACGTCGACTCGTATTCATCACCCAATGAAACAGACAATAGCTCTTCGAGTGTCGACGACTATATGAAGACAACAATAGAGCAAACGGTTATTAACACAACCAAATTGGGACCAATTATGTCGACAATACCCATCACTTTGGGAACTACTGTTCCGACGGTAACAGAAACTACGGTCACAACTGAGACGATGCGGATTATGAAATGCAATACTGACGGGCAATACGATGGCGAGTATGGGATCGGTCACTGGCCACCAGTGCCTGCGGGCGACCAGTCATGTGTGGACTGTCCGGACATGAGTGATGGTCAGGCGTGTTGGCACTGTCTGGACACCGGCCTATTGGCGCCAAACGGACCCAATTGGATGCTTTGTAACCACTGGTTGCACGAGTTGGTCGAAACGGACATCGATTGTATTGATAAGGCTATCGGCGTTATGGACACAATCGCCAAACAAACCGTTAATAACAATACTATAGTCTATAGCGTAAAGTTGTCGCAAGTGTTGAGTATCGTAACGAAAGTGCAGTCCTTTGTGGACACCAGCGACGGCGGAACCGTTGCCATCGATGTCTGGATCGACTACATGGACAAAGTGGTCGAGTCGTTGGCCCACATATTGGACCAGAAGTACGCGTGGAGTAACTCCACCGACGATGAGAAGACAACGTTGGCCTCAACGATACTGATTAACGCCCAGTCATCCGCTTATACGCTATCTCTGCAGCAAAACATGTCCACTGAATCCGTGGTTGAAGTCTTCAACGAAGACTTTTATGTGAACACATTCTTCCGGTATGTGAACAAAGAGTTACGGTTTCCGATCAACACATCCCATCACTCGTCGATTATCATACCGTCTGATATCGTGGTCATTGACACCACCGGTGAGGCCAGCCATACGGCCACCGGTGCTATCATTCGCAATATAGACGCCTATTTGTTGGCCAATATTACCGATGATTACGAAATCAATTCAGACATCTTATCGTTTAGTTTGACAAACAATTCAAACATTTTAGACCTCAATAAAGAGGTGATTATAACGTAAGTTAAAGCAAACAGTTTTGTAATCACTATTTATATTTAATTAATTGATTTATAATATAAGTCATATAAAAAAGTATTTATTATCATGATATAACTACAGTACATGTAAACTTTACATGAATTGTACATTAATTTACAATTACACGTGATAATAACGATATTTTTAAGAATTTTGTACATGTAGTCAAACATGAGGTCCATTCATGTCTTGATATATCTGCGAATTAATTGTGAAATAATTATTAGTTATAAATAATTTTAATACAATTGTATTGCGATTAAAAATAATTGTTTGATTTATTGATAGTCTTCAACACAAACAGCGGCTAATGTTTGGCGATGAAAGCGATTGCGTTTTCTGGGACTTCAATGCCTCGCAATGGAGTTCCAGAGGTTGTGTGAAAGACGTGACACAATCAGACTTATGGCATACGGTCTGCAAATGCAAACACTTGACAAACTTCGCCGCACTTATGGACGTCACCGGAAGGGAGAGTAAATCTCTGGTCAAATCACTGCTCACATACATCTGCAGTATAGTGTCGATTGTGGCCCACATTTTGACAATCAATTTGATCATCAGATCCCGGCAGCGATTTGCCGCCATCAACGCCAGAAACGCCGATCTCTGCGAAATGCGAGCCATAATTACCACCAATTTGTGCGTCTGTTTAATGATCACAAACTTTTTGGTGATTATAGGGATGGATAGGACCAACATTTTGGTGATTTAACTCTTTGATTATATCTATCTATCAATTGATTTTTAATGATATTTTTGTTGTGACAATAATGCAGTGGTTGTGTCAGTTGTCGTCGGCATCACTACTGTATTCACTGTTGAGTTCATTCTCGTGGATGCTTTTGGAGGGCTATTATCTGTACAAGTCTTTGGTCGCGTGTTTTAACTCCCAATTCCGGGCCCGATATCTATACCTCACGGGTTACGGACTGCCGCTCGCAATACTTATTGTCTCCTTTATTACCATTTATTTCAAAGAGAATATTCTGTGGGAAATATTCTTCGATGAAAGATATAATTATTTGTAAGTTTTTTAAATTAATTTTTTAAATAATGTATAAATTATTTGGGAAATTAATTAGTTGTTGGATATCATCGTCTCATTATTCAAGTCATATATGGATTCTCATTGGTTTGTATTAATTGACAATAATTTTAATTAATTGTTTATTTAAACAAATTGTTTGCACACATGTGTAGGTCCGGCCGTTTGCGTAATCCTAAGTAATAGTGTATTGATGTATATATCTCTGAAAACGGCGTTTAAAATATTGCAAAATAACAAAGAGATGCAAATGTCGAGAGAGAAGTGGAGGAAGAAATTGAAACAATTGATTAGTTTCATATTTATCATGTTTCTATTGGGCATTACGTGGCTATCATTCGTTCTCTACATTAACAAAATATTTTATTTTTTTAATTACATTTTCATTGTATTGAATGGATCTCAGGTAAAACAAATTTTGTAAACATGATCTTGATAATTTATTAGATATTTGTGAACATGTTGTTAACCGTAGGGTTTGTTCATATTTCTACACCAACTGTCCATTTATGAAGTGAATGGACGCCGAAAGTCATTCTCCAGTTCATTGAAGTCCATATCAAGAAGTTTTTCAAATTAAACAGCATTTAAATTGCTGTTTAATTATTGGTTGTGTTTTAGTTGTTAAATATATTGTTTAAATTTAACGTTTTTATTATTTGTAAATATGTTGAATATATTAATTCATTATTTCATTGCCTTATTTTGAATCATATTTTCAGTTAATAAAAACAAATATTATTATTTTTTGTTAATTGTTAATAAACAATTATCTTTATGTTTTCTTTACATATAATTTTAATAATCACTAAACTATGTTATGATGTGGTGATAATTACAGCCAATGGCATAAGTCTTAGCGATTGTGGATTAAGTGTGCGAAACAATCACAGATATCGGAGGGATCGGCGAGTGATCGGAGGGTCGGACGCAAAGAGCTTTGAATTCCCGTGGATTGTATTAAAACAATGCAAAATATATAATATTTTTATTATTAAAATAATTATGAATTATTTGATTCATATAAAATGTAGGTCTCGTTGCAAACCATACACAACACCAGCTATAAGTATCACACGTGCGGCGGAGCTATACTTAATGGTCACTGGATTTTAACAGCCGCTCATTGCGTGCAAAAATAGTTAGCCTTTTAAACCCAAAATCTAATTTAATTTATTTAATTATCAATTTTTTGCTGTATTTTAATAGCAAAACAAATTTCACAAACAATTTGATTATAAGTTTTGGTTCGTTGAACTGGACGTACGGTTTTGAGCGCAAACTAACACACATTATATGCCATCCGTTAAACACTTACGACAAAAATGAAGATAATTTTGCGGACATTGCGCTCATGAGAGTCGCCGAACCGATACGACCGGTCAATGTGTTTGGCTATTATCAAATAAACAGCATTTGTCTGCCAAAAGCGGGACAACAGTTTACGGGCGCCGCGACTCTGGCCGGTTGGGGAGTCACCCGATGGCGGCATCCAATCAGCGATATGTTTATTTATGAGAAAACTGTATTTCTGACTAATTTAAATAACCATAATTAGTTTTATTTATATTTACAATATTAATTTAAATATATAGCAAATTCTACAAAGAGCTCCTAATATGCCGATTGTTAATATGAAGACGTGTCAGTCCATGTATTCAGTGACCACACGGTTTAAATTGTCCCAATATTTAGACGACAATATTGTTTGCTGTGGTGGCCATCAAATGGGCAGTTGGTCTGTAGGTATACTTATGATGGTTATTTTTATTTGTAACTAATATATTGACTTGATTTAAAGGGCGATTCCGGTGGACCCCTTGTCTACTATAATGTCACCTCTGGAAAGGCTGTCATCATAGGCGTGGCCTCAATGGCCGAGCCGTACGATTGGGAGCGACCGTCACTTTTTACACGAGTGGCCAAATATGTGGATTGGATTCACGAAGTAATCACATATTGGGATCAATTTTGCAAAACAAATAATTGTTAACTTTCTATTGACTACTAATTGAAATGTTTTATGAATAAAATGAAAAATTGTTATAATTTTGAAAATGATAGCAAATACTATACCTATTTTTATATCAATTAATCATATAATGAGTAAACTTTTCAAAACATTATTAGAATTAATAAAATGACATTCCTCTGATCACTTTTTACAAAAATGTTATTAGACATGGTAAAATAATAGTTTGCTAATAAATTGGTAGCTTTTTATTAACATCTCTTATTAAATCAATTAATCAACTTATAAATAAAATTAAAATGTTCATTAAAATGTCAGACTTCTAGAAGATGTCTAAAACTTAAAAAACCACATTTTGTTTTGTAATTTAAAACTTTAATTACATTTAAAATTAATTTGATTTTTAATGGCATTCATATCTAGCGTATAGCAAAATGAATCCATTAAATATCAATTGTAGGATATTATTGACAATTACAATAGTGTTGATCCAATTGAAGCCAATAGTAAATAATAGTAAATAATTTACAATTAAAAGTAATAATGAAATTAAAAATTAAAATACAACTAATTTGCCAAAAGGTGAGTTTGATCTGAATGGCGTCAAATGTGGTCTAAAACACGCGGAGAATTACATAGTGGGCGGACAGACGGCCGCTGTGGGCGACTTCCCATTCCTGGTGCTCATCAAACTCAATGGTAATACCGTATGCGGCGGTGCTATCATTGACAACATATGGGTTGTCACCGCCGCCCACTGTTTCAAAGAGTAGGTATGTCTGGCCATACGATTCAATGGACAATAATACTTAGGATGTATAGATTAGGCCTACTTTTATCAGTGTTAGAGTTTAATACCTGTCCATTGAAACCAAGCGCTAACCGGTATATAATTAGATAATTACCTTAATTGTCTCAATAGCAAAGAGCGCCAGATAGCCGACTATACAGTACACGCCGGGGCCAACACCTTACACGATGGCGATATCTATAAGTTGTCCGCAGTTAGAGTCCATACAAAAGTACCATAAATGAAATGAAATGTTGACAATTTTTAGTGTTTCAAAATAATTAAATGATTATATTTGCCGAAAGTTTTCGTTTGACGGAATGAATCACGACATCTGTCTCATCAAAATGGACCGACCGTTCAGTTTCGGCGCAAAAGTGGGCACAATATGTCTGCCTCGGACGCAGAGGGAGGAGCCTTCGGGCACCTTAACCGCCGCCGGTTGGGGTCGACTCTTTGAAAAGGAAGCGCCGGCAACAGTGCTCCAGAGAGTCGATCTGACCATTATTAGCGACGAGCAGTGCGCCACTATGTATACGGATAAACATGTCACCATAATGCGGTCAAATATGTGCACTTACCGCGAGGGTCATGATACATGCGAGGTATAATCGGTATTGTCTATATCGGTTGGTTAATCATGTTTTTATTGTGTTTTATAGGGAGATTCGGGTAATTATATGATTATTGTGTTTATTAAATGATGACCATAATCATATTTTACGAGCACAGGTGGGCCAGCATTTCAATCTCACAACGGAAGGTTCAAATTGTTAGGTGTCGTCTCTTTTGGTGAGTATTGATATAAATTGATTAATTTATTTGAAATGTTTACTAAAACATGTGATTTAATATTTCAATTAAAGGCTGGGAGTGTGCGGACACACATCCGGGTAAATCACAATTGATTTGTTTTGTGTAATACTTAAAAGTAATCACTATTTTATCACTTTTAGGAGTCTATACACAGGTTTCATATTTTCTCGATTGGATTAAAAACACTATCGATTAAAATAAATCTCAGATTAAAAGTACAATAAATATGTTTTAATAAAAGTTCAATTCATTTAAAATAATAATTCAATTTAAATTTAAATAAAGGATTTCCTAAAAAACATTGTATATAAAATGAATTTGTTATAAAAAACTCCTATAAATCTATAAACAAATATATAATAATTAAACATCTGGTCTACGGATCTGTCTTTTATCGGTCACTAAATAAATGTCAAAAACTTTCTTCAAGAGGAAAGAGCCAAAGAGTCGCCTCTGGCTATCAGTCCATCCGATCGGACACTTTTTGTGGCCATTGATCTCATTTGTCAGATTGTGGAGACCGATGGCGTCGATTATCATTGCCTCACGAGCTAAGGCCTCGTCAGAAGTGATTCCAGTAAAACACGGCAAAGATATTACTCCCTTATCTGTGGACCAAATGTGACGAATGCGTTGATACTTAGCCGAGTCTTTGTCATAGCCTTTGCTGGTGTCGTAGAAGTGTTGGTAAAGCCGAGTGCCCTGACCCTTACCCACGTAGAAGATGGAGGTCACGAATTTGGCGAACACCTGTCCGTGAAGGGGGCGCTCAGTTCCCGGCCGAGCCTTGTTTGCGGCGCTTCCGGCTATGTTTGGGTCGATTAGGATATAATTAAAGTACTGTTGTCTTGACTTCGAGTCCCGTTTGTCAAAGAAGTCCATAAATTGTTTTTCGAGTTTATAGCACTCGTCGAATGGGACCGACTTTCTGGACAAACACCTCAATTCGGCCGAACAGTTGGTCAACGATGCGGTGGTTGTGTCCCTCGAGTCCCACTTTTGGTCAACCAATTTGATGGGACGATCGATGCAAACACTCTTTAGTAGGCCTACTATTTGCGGACAGTTGACGATCGGTGCGGCGGTTCTGTCATTGGGGTCGCGTTTTTTGTGACCCGATTTTAGCGAAGAGTTTGTGTGAAATCTGTTTAATTGGTTTACTATTGGAGTGAAATGTACTGAAGTTTTGTTTCTCTGTAACCAATTCTTTTCATTCCTATCCTTAATCAGCAATTGATTCCAACATTTGGTAGTATTTGCTATCAATTGATCCAAAGATTTAGTATTATTTGCCAACAAATGGCTGAAAGGATTAGCGAAAAGTTTTGCTGTCATATCTGTCCAC